CCCCAAAACCCCAAAACCCCGTCTTTGAAATAACTAGCTTAAAGAAAAAGTAAAAATATTTTAGATAAAATAATCAAAATTAGTTAGTCTATTTAATTTAGTTAGATTATGATTTCTTTTTAATTTATCTTGACACAATAATCTAATTTTTTGAATTGCTAGTTTATTTTTCTTAAGACTTCTTTTTGTCTTCATATTTCTAAAACCTCCTCATTCTAAAATCAAAGATTCTTAAAGGCTTTATGCCAATTAATTTTTCAAAGTCTCTTGGGGTTTCTTTATCTTGGCAAGTTTCATTTTCATCTTCATAAAAGTCCTCTTTGATTGTTTCCAGTTATATATCCTTTTTACTCTTTATAATCAAGTCTTTTTCAGTTTCCACTGAAGTTCCATTTTTCCTAATCTTATTTGACTTGAGTGCTAAGATTTTCTGTTTCATTACCCTCCTCAATCTTAACTTAAATCTTAAAATCTTATATAATTTAATCCAGTGAAGCAATTAGTTCTTAAGAATAAGAAATATGTTAATTGAAAAATTGAACAGTATTATGCTTATTATTGCCCAACCAATACTTTTTCTAATTCCATCATGACTTGAATCTAGTTGTAGAAACAAAGCTGACATAGTAATAATTGCAAGTACCATAGATTCATTGAATATTTCAATTATATTCTAATCAGGTTTATCAAATGGCTTGAATTCTATTAAGTAAACTAATTAAGATATGCACATTACTATACTCAACATAATCTAGATGTAGGGTTGATTTTAAAAGCTAAATATTAGAAGGATTATTAATGACCTTCGAATAATAAAGAAAAAGTTGAACAGTAATGTCATTTTGCTTTTCTACCTTAAGTCATCATAGAGATTCTCTATTCTTTTATCATTTATCTTACTCTTTAATGCTCCGATAACAATCAATAATGGCAAAATTAATAGGATGATTCCAATAGCAAAAGCAGAAATTAAGCTAGAAAAATTTATTTAAGTAAAATCATTTGAATATATTAGCAAGAGCATTTATAGAGAAAAGCAAAGGCCTAATTGTAGATAACCTTCAAGTAAAAATCTTAATATAAAACCAAAAATAAAAGATTTCTCAAGAAAAGAATAAATATTCTTAATAATTTTTATCTTAGCAACAGGCTTAACAGCAATTATAAAAATCATTAAAATGATATAAACTAGAATGATATTGTAGGCGGATTACATATTTTCAATAAAATCAAATGATTCTAATCCCATTAAATCAAAATTTTCAGAGAATTATTCTCTCTCAAAATCATTAAGATTTTTAAGCAAAAATAAGTTTTAATTGAGTTCTTCAACATCAATTAAGTCGAAATTTATTGTATCAAAGATCAACTTAAACATTGTCTAAAGATTTGATGGGAATTTAATATTAAACATCGGTAGGTAAGTCACAATCTAAAGAGCATTTATCATTCCCCAAAGCATTGAAAGACTTACAGTCGTAAATAAGTTCAAGGCTATATTCGAAAATATGTTAATATTCAATGTCTAAGTGACAACATTTGAAGCCTAATTAAGTATAGCGGCTTCACCAGGTGAAACTTACTGTGGAATGTATACTCTGTTAGTGATATAATTTCTTTTGATACTTTAGTTTGTATATTTCGAAATATAAAACTTTTCGTCTTTAATCTAAATTTCTAAATAATCGTAATTTATCCCCGATGACACTTCCTACGTATTCTTAAACTAAACTTTGATTTTCATTTCTTAATCTTTTATGCTTGTAATCTGGAAATTACTTACTAATGCATTATTCATGACATCTTTTCGGTAATATCTTATTTCTAGAGATTCTTAAATTAATTTATTATCTATCAGCATTTGTTAGTAAACTGGATTGTTAAAAGAGCATTTGAGCTCTCCTTATTGATTTATCCTCACTAATCTAAGTTAAAGCTTTACAATATTAGGTCCTACTTAATTGGAGGTTTAATTTGAATTTTGATCCAAGACAACTGCACCATTAGCTGTAACACTTTCATTACCTGGAATTGAAATTTGATTATCATTCCAAGTTAACAGATCATAATTCTATACTAACAAGGTAAAATCATATTAATTCTGCAGTAGGTATTATGTTTTTTCTTATATTGTAATAATAAAAATTTGAGTTCCTAGATTTTAAACTTGAGGAGTACAGATGATTTACTTGGAACTAATTTAGCAAAATTATTCATGAGATGAATTTTGATTTTGTATGCTAATGGTATAGTCATCACCTTAATCATCTTTAATTTATGGAATTACTTGAGTATACACTAAAGATACCTGTGTTACTCCATCTTGGATTTAACCTTTCAAATAAGGGGCAGTTTGAGTCTCATTGATTTAGATAAGCTTTAATTCTTCTTATATTGCTTCTGAAATCGATGACTGTTTGAATCTTATTGTAATCGTGTCAGTTTCAACGTAACTTCCATCAGAAAGCGTTATCCTCCAAAATATTCTATAATTATAAGTGGGATAAGTTTCATCATCAACATAAACTCTGATCTTTCTGCCTTAATATGTTCCATAATTTTAATAAATTACTCTCACTGAACTTGAATTTATCACATACGAGTAAATCGTATAATCAGTTATGGTATATATACTGCATGTGGATATCAAGAAGTAGGGATTAAGAATAATGTCAATTGATGAACCAAATTATACTTCATAGTCTATATAGTAAGTGCTTGGAACAATAGTAGGCAGAGTTTGTCTAGTGTTGCATATTGCAGGAGAATTTGAAGGTAAAATATCTGCAGTTACATTCAAAGAATTCACATTATTAATCTGATTTGTAATCATACCAGGCAATATAGCTTATGTTGTTGTTGACTGAGAAAGAGTGGAGAGCTTTATAAAATTGCCAGCTGCTACTGTTATTTATGATTCTGTGTAAACTAATTATGAGCAAAATTATTTTGGTGAATCAAAAAGTATTGAAGGATTAGCTGGTTAGGAAACTAAATTAAATTCTGATAAAACCCCACC